ATAAAATATTTCCCACCTTTTCTATTTTAATTTGTATGCAAAAATCATCACAATATATCTGCAACTATAAAATTACAAATACTTTCTAGAAGTCACTGCATTTCTAGTTATGGTAGAAAAGGGTATTTACTCAGATGAATGAGGTAAGGCTAAAACAGAAGTTGAGTAACAAATGATTTCTGATGGTGCCATATAAACTAATGTAACAAAGATAACTAATGGACAAACTTAAAAAAACTTTTCATGGCTAAGAAATTGGTAATGAGATGAAATAAACATTTAAAGAGAATCTTGATATTTCACTTTACATCATAATTTTGGCACTTCATGGAACATTGATTTCCCAAAGACCAGAATTGGTATAAAAGTTCAGCAGGTTTTGCACATACCTTGTAGACATTGTACTTGAGTACTGGCAAACAGTGAAACGTAGTGAAATAAACATTCCCATGTATTTGCACATGCATGCAGTAGTCAATCAATGAGAGTATATGGATTCTCAAAAGATATTTCAGTATTTGTTTCAAGCACTTTCTTCAGTAGATCTTGTTTCAGATTTAAGTCTTACAAATTCTTTAGCAACATCGTCGCTGGTCCTCTGAGAGAGTATTCTGAGGATAGTCAAACCAGTTTCATCCATGGACACATTTTTCAAAAGAGGATACCAAGCCCCATAGCTTCCTTTTTCAGCTATGTTCTGTAGTTGAATTACTGTCATTCCAATAATTCGATCTTCTCGGGCAAAGCAGTAATCCTTAACTGACAGGTGAAGTTCATAAGCCCCTGGACGGTTTTCATTCCCTAGAACGCTGTGTGAATTAGAAATACAAATTGAGCAGATTTTACTTATAGTTCTAAAATACTAACATTGTGTACCTTGCTTAAAAAGGTTATGGTGGCAAATAGAGAAGCATTGTATTTTTAACCATGACCCTTTAAATGTCACTTAAGATTTTCCATTAAAATTTATGACAATAACCTAACTTACTTTTGCTTTCCCTAGATAGAAAAAAATATGCTTTACTGCCTTAATGTTAAGCATAGTGATCAAAATGAGAAGTAAAATACTGTGTTGTTTAATTATTAAAATCAGGATTTCACATATCCTCATCGATAAAGACTGTGGCTAGGATAGAGTTGCTAAGGGTTTGGGGAGCTAGGTTTGAGGGGTACTCTTTGAGGAATCTATGCTAATTCAACATCAGCAACTATTTTTTTTTAATATTTTTTAGCTTTCAGCAGACACAACACCTTTGTTTGTATGTGGTGCTGAGGATCGAACCCGGGCCACACGCATGCCAGGCAAGCGCTCTACCGCTTGAACCACATCCCCAGCCCAACATCAGCAACTATTATCTTTTCTTTACCCAAGGCTCCTGGAAAAGCTATTAGATCTAAGAGCCTTTACTCAGGGGAATAACGATGCTACATTAGATACAAATCTCCAGCGTACATCAGTTCCAGCAGAGTCTAGTGCTTCAATGCCAATTCCTTCCTACAGTTAGGCCTGTCAAGTGTGTAGCTGAGGGTGTCCTCTACTAGCAACAGCCTACGACAACCTGTCAGTGTAGAACTGCATATTTTAAGGAAGGTTGAGTGGTGATATTCTGGGAATAGTCTTCTTCCACCCATTATTTTAATTCACTCACAGATGTTCTTGACTTTTTAATGAATGCACATCTATCTGTTGGCAGTACCAGCTTCCAATATTCTTTTTCCAGGTGATATTTTTCTGATGAAACATTTTTCAGAGTCAAATTTTGTCACCAGGTTACATTGATAACTAAACTGTGCACTTGTTTTACAGAATCTGAATGCAAAAGAAATTGGTGGCTTGATAGGTAAGAAAAGGAGAGCAAAATCTGATAGCAGTCATATCATTGTGTACATTAAAATTCTGCCTTTCCAAGAACAGTGGTTGTGGTAATTCAGTGTTGATATGTATACCTTCACACAATCCAAGTGATTTTTGATACTTTAGAAAACTTGTGTAACTTGGAAGAGCAGACAGGTGGAATTCTATGAGCTGGTTTATTACTAGGAATTATTGTGATTAATCTATTAGACTCTTGATACATATTGTAGAATAGTAAGAAAGTGAGATATTCAGAGAACAGAATTCTTAAAGGTGCATGAAAAACCAAGAGAACCAACCAGATCAGTAAGGAACTATTGGGGTATATGGAAATTTCTAAGGTTTTTGTCCTGGATCTCCTTCTCTATCTCTAGGTTAGCTCATTTAGATTTATGGAATTGCATAAGATCTATAGAAAGACAGTTCTAAAATTATACCCAACTGAGGATTTGGCATCTCCAAAACAAAATCCTTGATGTCATGTCCTTTCCCTATTTTCCCATTTCAATAAATCACAATTTCACCAGGTTCTCATGCCAGAAACCTAGGGTGGTTCTTGTTTTCATCAGTGTCAGGTATCTTTGTCCCACCTGGATCCATTCTCCACCCTTCTCTTTTCACTCTGTAGTCCTACAGGTCAGCATTCTATTGCAGTGATAGTGTTCTTTCTTGTTCTGGCTTGAGCAAGAAAAAAACTGCTTTTGGACAAAATGAAGCCCCAGAAGGGTTCAGAAACATTTACTTGCTTGGTTTCTTGGATCTGAGGCTGCCTTGAGACCTATTTCTGTCCATGGAAAGTTGCTGCTCCCAGCTGACGACACGTGGAGCTTTTACTTTCCCAGTGTTACTAATGTCCTAATGGCTCTTTGTTTCCTCCCTTCAAGATGTGGAGAGAGCCCCAAATCCCATCGCTGTAGTCTACAGTCCCCTGTACTCACATGTTTGTAAATTCCTTTTTATGTAAGCATATCCTGAATTATCTTAAATTGAATGTTCCTGGGACTATGACATGTCTTTCTACCTCCAGTTCATGCAAGAATATAATTCCAACATGTATCTAGAACTTTTCTTTCCATTTTTTTTTTTTACTACCATGAATTAGTCAATATTATTGCTTGCCGGGATAACATTATAATAATCACAATAACCTTCTTATTTATCTTTACCTGTTTGTTCTTAGTTCCTTGTAATCGTTCCTTTACACAACAGAATAATCATTTAAAGATACAAACTCAATATTCATCCCTTCATCTGAAAACCCTCCAAAGGGTCTTCTCATGGAGAGACAACTGCAAACCCTTCTGTGAAGTGACACCTGCACCCTCAATACCTCTCTAAACTCATCTCACTCTGAGACACTCTACCCTATTAAATATGCCATGCTTGCTTCTGTTTTAGACTCCTTGCATCAGCTCTTTCCCTTGGCCTGAAACACTCTGGATTCTCTTCCCTATAGGACTGTTATTTCAGGATTCAGTGAAGCTTTCCTGACTAGCAACTAGCCATAGTACTTATTGCGAAGTTCTCTGCATAGTATTTACTACCCTATGACAAAAATCACAAACAAAAATATGGTGTTTTTTTATCCATAGCTTACGTGTAACAGAAGGTCTTTGTCATGTATCCCATAACTACACACTGCCTGATACACAGTCACTAAACAAAGGGAACTAGATGGGCTTTCTTCATTGCAACCTACAGAATACTTACACCAAGAGGCTTTACTTTAGAATAGCCATTGGCTGGTTGAATAAATAAGTAAGGTTTATGACTTACAACTGAAATGTCTCATTGTACTTTGGTGACCATGTGTTGCTTTTTGTCTTTGTGCCTTGTTTTCTCTTCTTGTCTCCAAGGTTGGGACCCAGTAGGCAAACTTCCACAAAGGGGCGGAACATTGCTGAGGTCTGCCAGTTTAGGTCATTAATAGCAATCACTAAAATCCAAAAAGGAAAAGGGAAGGGATTGTGTTAGCAAATAAATGTGTGGAAACTTAGCTTCCTCCCTGTGGTTATTATGCTGAATTTTTATTCTAAAAAAAGTGGTTTCATTTGATAGTGACCTTGAAGCAAAAACAATTTACTCTCCAAAATGCACTCCTGACAGGGATTTCTAAGCTATGTGGCACTGGCATGGTGAAAAATTAGGTACAACTGATATGGCTTCTGTTACTAATGACAAGTCAGCATTCCTTGTTATGTAAGACCATGGTGTTTTTCACATCAAAATTAAGATGTTCATCATGCAAAAAATATATAGGAAATATATGAAACTCCAATTTGAATTCTCAGAGAGACTGACAATATTTAAATACAAAAACATTAGCTTTATTTTTAAAAGTGAATCATGAACATTTACTTCATTATTTTTCAAGTGCAAATATATTCCACTGTATGGATATACCAACTACACTTAACCAGTCACTTTAAACACTTAGGTGTTTCCTAATTTCAGGCAAACAATTTCAAATGAACGTTCTTATTATCAAAGCAAAAGTTTAAAAATATCATTAGGAAAATGTCTTGGAATTGCGAATGCAAAAGACACTTTATATGCATGCCCTTTTATCTGTATTCTTACCAGTTATCTATTATATTCTAAAAGAAACATAGCTACAGTCTATAAGATGCATTATGTAAAACAAATTTAAAATATATCAGGATACCGTGGTTTCGATCATGAGTATATTGAGTAAAATGCTAACTCAAATTTCACCTTTTAAATTATTCTAGCATTGAGACTGCTTTTACAATGCTAAACTAATAGATTGAGCCATATATTAGTTCAAAAAATTGTTGAAAAATCACAGAAAGAAATAAGTTGATAAGTCTATTATGTGAATAGTAAGAACCTAACATTTAGCTTTGAGAAGTTATGAAGCAAACCATAGTACTAATTTCTAATTAAAATCATAATACCAACCATGGAACGTTTGGAAATTTAGATACCTGTGTATTTAAACCATTCAGATGTTTTAAATAATTGTTTTGGTTTTCTGAAGAAATTAAGCATGACCTATATTTTAAAATTATATATATATATATATATATATATATATAATTTAAAATTAGATGAGAAAAATTACATTTTCATGTTATTGCTATGGCTGTTTAATTTATCTGAACATGAACCATACCTTTTACAGTGACCTTATGCTCTCCAGTTCCTGGGGTTGCAGTGACATCCACGTGAACAGATATCTGACCCACTGCATCTTTGGAGGAGCGACCTGCGAGTAAGCAAAAGTTAACCGGCCCGGAATTTTAGACTACTTAATGAACATCTATGTTCTGTGCATGAGTTACAATATGTTATTGGACGTAAATGGTTCTTTCCATTAGTAGATCATAAAAATTGTTTTCTATACAGGTTTGGGTATAATTATACTTAGCCTATTGAGCTAAAATTTCATAGGGTCTACAAAAGTTATAAGACACATTATTTCTGTTACATGAACTTGCAGTTGACTTACTCTGAACCTTAATAAAGTTGTAGTCACTGCGTATATACAAGGATGCATCATTGCTTTCATTCTTTTAAAAAATTTTCTGTGATTTGACAGAGTAGTGGAGACCCAAAGATGACTCTGGAGAGCACTTGCTTTCATGAAGCTCACAGTAGTCCAGGAAGACGAAATACAGAAGTGTTATTGGAATAGGGTAAATGTATGATAGATACATTTGCAATGTGTATATATGGCATCAATAAGAATAGTCAACTCTATGCTGGTGAAGATTAATTCGGAGTTAAACATGTTGTATTGGAAAGTACTTGTGATTTAGAGTCAAATAAAACTTGAATTCAAGTCATAGTTATGTCACTACTGGTTCTGTGATCCTATATAATTTACTACATTCTTCAGTCTTAGTTTTCTCATTAGAAAAATGAGATCACCAGCCTTGAACATACACATTTTTCCCCATGAATCAAGGCACATGCAGTAATTATTAATCTTACCTTTTATCTTTTCACCTAATTTATGATGGTCATTCTATTCAGAATTAAAGTTGCCATATTCTTTTCTATGACCGAGACTGTCACAGCACTAACTACAAAGTAAATGTTCAATGGATATACATGCTTGAAAATAAATCAAAGAAGTTTGCAAATATTTAATATTAAAACACATGAATATATTACAAGTTAACCATTTTTCATTTGTTTTCAATTTATCATGAATTATTATCTTTCACTTATACAAGATTATTCATAGTATACTAAGAGTGGAATATATTTGTCAAAGTTACAAAATTTTAGTTTGTAGCTCTTTACATTCTTGTTTGCAATGTGTGAGATTAACAAGAATCTTATTTTCATAGAAAATATTCTCACAAAATGGTTAATTCCTAAAGCTGAAAACAAAATATTCTGAAAGTCTTTTAAATTTCTAACTTCAGAAAATCATCAGGATTTGGGCCAGAAACCTGTGGAAGAGCCTGTTCACTTCTAGGGCCTCCTTTACCCATCATAGCCATTTGATAATAGATTGAAATTATAAAATGGTCATTCTGGGCATAAGTAAAGGGGCTGGCTATTCTCTGCTGGAAGGCGGGGAAATAAAAGGTGAAATGTTCCTATTCCTGAAGGGGAGAAAACTGAAATTGCAGGCCAGATAGACAACCGGTCCTGTAACAAAATGACTACCTAGATATTTGACTTGAGCAGAGTCAACTGGGTTAAAAACAACAACAACAACAACAACAACAAAAAAAACCACCACATTGAGTGTGCCCAGACTACCATCTGAAGTCCTTAATTCCCAAGTATGGGGGATGGCTTGATGTGCTAGATCTGGACATGAGGGAGGGAAAAGGCAATTGTGGGCTCTGTTCTTGTCAGGGATGGCCAGGCTGGGTGGAGCAGAGACAAGTACCTCAGAGGACTGTGGTGTACTAACATTACAAGAGGCTGAGAAGGAATAAGTAGCCAAGTGTCCAGCCTTGTGAGAGCCCATCAAAACCTACGGGAACTATTTGGAAGTGAGTTTCACACCAGCTGCTTTAGGGACATCTTTCCCAAAGTCAATGACCTAAGACAAATGGATAACAACCTTTGGTCACTAAAGATTGCCATCAAAGTTCAAATACCATTTTCTGTTGTCTTCCTTTTCCTTCATTCCCAACACCAGGGAGACCACCCGGAGGAGGAGGAAAGGTATATACCAGAGAAGATCACACTTTACTCCTCTTCTCTTAGAGGCACTGTTTTAGCTTGCATTTAGGACAGATGCGGAAAGCTCAGGTGTGAAGGTGGAAGAAACTGATAAAACTCAAATTTTCTAGTATCACCAAAAACAGTAGGAAGCCCAACTATGATATTAGTAAGGAGGGTGTCTACTCTGTAAAAAGCAGGGTTCCTGAGAGAAAATTGATAGTAATCTTTGGAATAGTTCCACATTGCTGGATTGATGACATCCTTAGGAAATGGAGTCTTCCTATTCAAGGACACAATAAGTGCATCTTCCCATTATTCAAGTCTTTTTGCTTGTCTGTTCGTGTACATTGAAAACATTTCTTAATGTACCTATCATGCTTTAAAAAAAATTTAGTCCTAGGTATTTTATCCCATTTTATATGGACTAGTTTTCTTTATAACATATAATAAGAAAGTTAATAATTTTCTACCTTAATTTTTTTTTAATCAAGACAACTGAGTTTTTAATGAAAGATTTTCACTTAGTCCTTAAGGGTATGTGGGTATAATAAAAAACAATTAGCTGGTCTTGCTTGCTTTGGCTGATTTTATTGGCTTGCACTTATATGGTTATAATGCATGATATTGTTAAAAGTAGGTAGATTTGTTATCCACCTTATCCATCCTGCTCTCTGCCCTCAGACTAATCTGTATGAACAATCAGTGATGCCCTCTAGTCTAGCATCCAGTTTTTTGGCCAGATGTGTAGTCTGTGTCCTGTGGGAGTCCCCTTTTGCGGGCTGAATCCTGCAAACAAATTTTCCTCCAGCAGCTGTTGTTAGGTGACAGTCTCTTTTCTGACCCTGGCAACTTCTTCCGTTCCCCTTTTACTTTTGTCACAGGGAGGTTAGTCTACTTTTCCTTCTGGCTGTCTAATATCCTGCCCATGCTTTTGTACCTGGTTCCTTTATTAAATTCTCTTCCAATTGGGGTGTGCCATTTGATTCCTGTTGGGACAGGAGTTAATGTCCTGATTGGAGTTAATATCATTTATTTGCTCCTAACAGAAATGCTTTTAGCATTTCCTCAATAGTCTTGTGTTTTGAGGATCAACGAGCTAATATTTGGTGGAGTAGGGAGGGCTTAAAATATGAACATTCACTGCTTTGCCACAGTGGGGGACATGCCTAAGGAGGGTTTTGAAGGTTGAATTGGAATTCATCTTGTAGACAAAGGGAGCAGAAGAAATAGCATATACACAAATGTAGATGCATAAAGCAGAAATGTATGTCCTAGAAACTGCAAAGAATTTAGTATGGATGGAGCTTAGATGCAGGAGTGACAAGTGGAAATGCTAGAAAGTTGAACTCATCCTAGAGCTGATGAAAATTTAGTTTCTAGTCATGAGGTTGTAGTCAGGGATTTTAAGAAATCCTCTCACCTGTATAAAAGATGGATCTTTCTTTTCACCCCATTCTCTTCTGCAGAGCTTCACAGTTGCATCTCACTATACTGAGGATCAAACCTTAAAACCCAACCTTTGACTAGGATGCCTTTTATTCCATCCACACTGCTGGTACCTGCTGCTATCATTGAACTCATTCTTCAAAACCTACTATTTTAAATTTTTTTTAAACTGCAAGTTTGGAACATTTTCCATATTCTATGAAGCCCTGTCCAAATAGCTGTATTATTAAATTCTTTCATTTTTAAATTATAAATCTTTAATTACATTCTTGATTGCCTCATACTATGTAACATGGTACAAAGACTTGTGGCAATGGAACAAGACTCCCCTGAATATGTTTTCTGTTGCTCATTAACACTTAATTAAAACTCTGTGGACTTTCATTTTCTTATTTTTAAATGGTGAGAAAACCACATATATATAAGCATTATTATAAGGATAAAAGATTTTTTTTAAAAAATGTGGATTATATGCCCATAATAACTGCCCAATAAATGGAATGTGTTTAATACTTTAATCCCTTAAAGATTCATGAATAATGCCATATGTGAAAATTATGTAAAACCCCCATGAATATTATAGTTATCTAAACCATAATATTATATCTTTGAAGGGACTAGAGTTTTCCTCAATGACTTTGTAATTCTTTTATCTGTAAAATTTCCTTAGTTGAGTACAATAAAGATGTCAGATTTTCAAGGACCTCCAAATGGGAAAAGCCCCTCCCTGCCACCGTCATAAAACATCAATCCGGTCAAATGTATTTTCTCAATAGTTTTTTAAAACTATTGTTGAAATCAGGGATAGCAAGAAAATTCCTTCAAACAGAAAATGCATACATCTTGTGACTTATCAAAAAGACAAAAGATAACAAGTACTGGTAATGACTTGAAGGGAACCTTTATGCACTTGGTAGAAATATAAATTGGGAGTCATTATGAAAAACAGTATGGAGTTTACTTAAATTAAAAATAGAGCTACAATACAATCTAGAAATCCCATTATTGGCCATACATCCAAAGGAAATGAAATTAATCCATCCAAAAGACATCAGAACAACCCTGTTCACTGCAGCACTATTCACAATAGCCAGGAAATAGAGACAACCTAAGTGTTCAGCAGCTGAGTGGACAGAAAGTGCACATATGGTGCACATATACACCATGGAATACCATTCAGCCATAAAAAATGAAATCCTGCAATTTGCAACATGGATGGAATTGAGAGGTCATTATGTTAGGTGAAATAAGCCAGACACAGAAAGACAAGTGCTGCATAACTTCACTCATGGAATTTTATAATATTGATCTCTTACAAATTGAGAATGGTGCTTTCCAGGGACTGGGGAGTAGAGGAGAGGAAGACAGAAAGGTAGATCAATGGAGACAGAGATGGGAGCAAGATGTTATATAAAAAATGAAAATCAAGACTACAACGAATAGCCATCCTGACTGGGGTCGGATGGTAATATCAAAATTTTTAAAAAAAGGCTGATGAGGAGGAGGAGAAAAAGTAACTCTTATACCCTGTTATTGGGAATGTAAATCAGTGTAGCCATTATGGAGAAAATTATGGAGGATTTTCAAAAAACTAAATACATATCTACCATATGATCCAACTATCCCAGTTCTGGGTAGATATCCAAAGGAAATGAAATCATCATACAAATGGGCCACCTGCATGCCCATACTTATTGCAGCACGTTTCACAATAGCTAAGGTGTGGAATCAGCCTAGGTGTGTATCAACAGATGAATGGATAAAGAAAATGTGGTATACATACAAAATGGAGTTTTATCCAGCCATAAGAAAAAGTAAAACCTGTCACTTGCAGCAAAATGGATGGAGGTAAAGGACATTATTTTAAATGAAATAACCAGATACAGAAAGAAAATTACCACATGTTCTCTCATATGGGCAATCCCAAAGGATTCTACCTCAAAACAGAATAGAGGTTGTGAAGGGTATGTGGAGGGAAGGTAGGGTGGTTGAAATTGATAAGTATACTCTGTAAAAATGTATGGAAATATCACCCTGAACCCCTTTTATAGATTTAATCAACATAGTTTAGTTTAAAAAAAAAAATCACAAAAATGAAACAATGAACAGCTAAATAAATGTGCCTAAAGGCCTAGGGATATATATAGCTCAGTGGTAAAGTTTGCCAGCACACACAAGGCCTTGGGGTCGATCCCCAGAACTGGAGGAAAAAATGTGACAAAACCCTTTTAAAGTGTAGCCTTTAAATACAGAGAATGTTAAGTTTTCCCCAATTTGCTCCTTTGTAGCTTTTTACTTATAAATTCTATGTATGCTGTATGCTTTTTTCTGAAGAGATACAGAGAGCTGCATGGGGACTGGGATGGTAAATGTCTCAGTTAGTACTCAGCAGTACCTGAACACTTCTGAAACTTCCTGGGTGGAAACATTTACTAGACTTCCAAAATACACAGTTCTTTTTCCAAAACAAAAATGTGAAGTTTACTGCTTAGTTAAAAGAAATATAGTTATGAGAAGTGGCTGCTTCCACTACCTGAAGAGTGGAATTAGGTCTGAGAGTTTTGTGACAGTTATGAGTAAATCAACCAGTTAATGGGTCATTGTTCTTAATGTTAAGGATCATGCTGTTTGGAACTGCATTTTTTAACTATGTGTTGGTGCTTTCATGGCCTCTCTCTAGCACCCATCTTATGTCCAGTGTTGTAGTTGATTGTGCACATTTTCCTCCCTAGCCATGTACTCTAGCATCAGGAAACTTCTATTATAAGCTCCAGTGAGTTCCCTTATCCATGGGTTCACTTTGCAGTTTCAGTCATCTGTGGTCTACAGTGATCCAAAAAATATTAGATCAACAATTCCAGAAAAAAACAGTTCATAAGGTTTAAATAATGATTATACCATGCTATAATAACAGCTGTTCTATTTTGAATTATTATTAATACCTTACTGTGCCTAATTTAAAAATTAAGCTTAATCATAGATACGTGTAGGAAGATATGGTATACATAGGATTCAATGCTGTCCAGATTCAGACATTCACCAGAAGGAGTTGAATGTATCCCCCATGAATAAGGGGAGAGAGTACTGTAATAATCCGTATTTCTTCTAAGACAATTAACTATATCCTATTAGTATATATTAAGTGGCCAATTAAATATTTGCTAATTTAATATGAAGAAATCTTCATTTTACAAGGTCTCTCTATATGCCTGAACTTCAGCTCTTACATTTTAAAATATCTTCCAACAAAAACTTTAAGTTTCAGTTACCAAAATATGTTAATAAGGTACAAACTTCATAGCCTGGTTCTTTGGTCTAAAAGCATTATGTAAATCACAGGAGAGCATTTTCAGTGACCAATCACAGTGATTAGTCACTGTACGTCTATGCAGTTTATACAGACAAGGTGTATAGTTGTATTGACACCTTATTTCCCAGTTATAAACCCATATACTGGGACTGTGGTTGTGGCTCAGTGGTAACGCGCTTGCCTAGCATGCATGAGGCACTGGGTTTAATTCTCAGCACCACATACAAATAAATAAAATAAGGGTCCATCAACAACTAAAAAAAATTAAAAATAAACCCATATATTTTATAAACATGGATAATTGCAAGAGGGAAATGACTAGAAAAGATCAAAGTGCCACAAAGAAAGAGTAATAATGTCAGGATGCAATTTGTATAGAATATCAATAGTTAATAGAAGAAATCACTGACCCTGAAAAATTACTCGACTCTGTTATCCTTGCAGAGTGTCTAGATAGCAGCTAAAACTTAGTGGAATTGAGTCCACTGACATAAATGGGGACAAGATGAAGATATTCTAATAGATATGATGTCATAGAAAATCCTTACATTAAAAGTCCTTTCAGAACTATCATGCTAAGTGAAATAAGCCAATCCCAAAACACCAAAGGCAGATGTTCTGATTTGTGGATGCTGACTCAATAGGTTGCAGGGAGGGAGAAGGAGAGGTTCCCTGGATTGGACATGGCAAGGTGGTAAGGGGGGCGGGGATGGGAAAGACCGTAGAACGAATCAGATATAACTTTCCTATGTTCATATATGAATAAATAACTAGTATAACTCCACATCATGTATAACCACAAAAATGGGAAATTATACTCTATGTATATGTATATTATATGTCAAAATACATTCTACTGTCATGTATAACTAAAAAGAATTTAAAAATTAAAAAAAAAATTAAAAGGCCTCTTGGAGAATGTGTTACAGATGAGGACATAGCTCAGTGGTAGAGCACTTGCTCAGTATGCACCAAGCCCCGAGTTTGATCTCTAGCACCACAAAAACAAAACAAGAAACCTAAAGAGATAACACCAAAAGCAGAAAGGATAGAAAGTTGGTAACTATGCCAAACTTAGGAAGTAATATGACAACCCACCAAGGCACAGAGAAGTTGCTTGTTCCTTATACAATAAGAAAAATAAGTGTCATTCAGAACACTCTTGGTAAAATTAAAACACTTTAATTCCTAATGTTTCTAATGATTTAAGCTATAGTACACTGTGTATTAATTTTACTACATTTCAATTTCCCTGTGTACTTATAACTGACAGAAATTTGGTGTTTGTTTCTGACAAGATGTTTTTAAAGGTCATGATAGAATCATAATTTTTCCTTTTAGTTTATTGATATTGCTGTGCTGTTTCATCTGCAGTTTTTTTTACAGTCCTCCATTACTATGCAAACTGACAACTGTACATTTATTTTAGTGGGTTCATGTAATCCTTTTGCAGATGCTAAAACTTTTAGAAGTTTAAATCAGTCAGACATGAGCAACGTGTGCTAGACTATGCAATACATTTTACCTCCCATCTGGAGAAGTATGATTATCCAGCATGTGAGTATGTTGCAATGTGTCAACCATCCTGGGACAAAAATGAAATGGGACAAAGGAAATTTGAAGTATATACACAGTTATTTGCTAGGATAAAAATAATATGTAAGATTAATATCTAAGATTAATATTTCTCAAATTACTAAATATGAAAATCTATGGTGCTCTTTATTCATGTATTTAACAATTTAATGAATACAGTAAAAACTTGGAAACTATGCTTGTTATAATCTTTTCTATTTAAGCCGATAAAAATTAGACTAGCTATGTCTGAAATCACCATATGGGTATCTAGAATGTGTCCTTTGTCAACATTACTGGATCATGAGTATTTCAAGAATGAGCAGTGCTTATGTAAGTCAACATTGGCAAAGGGCAGGAAGCTGAAGGAACCAATTGTCTGCTTATTTGAAGTCCATTCAGAAGGGCATCTTTTGAAGATAAAAAGGTCCTGATTACTATCAGATTTTGATAGAGCATAGAATAAGCTCCTTAAAGTGAATTTTTCACCTACCATAATTTTAGTATACTTTGTTAGGTAATTGATCCAGTAAATATTTTATAATAATTACCCATATAATACATTTGATAATTATCTCCAAGTTCTCAATCAGCGTGTTTTAAAATATCATAGTTTCTCAAATGACCTCTATAGGTTAACCACATTGCATAAGCGTCTGACAAAGAGGTTTCAATCTGTTCTCATGGACATTTTCTGGGCACCATAGAAGATGACTATTCTGATATCAGAGTCACTGAAAGCTCTGCCCTACAGCTTCTCCAGATTTAGCTCCAGGACCCTGGGTATGAGTGATTCTGTGTCTAATTCTACAAGTCATTAGTTCTATAAATCAAAGATGGTAGAAGGTGAATAAGCCAGAAAGAGACTTACACTATTTATTTCCTTTTATCCTTTGTTATGCTTTCCTACTAATTCTTCCCTGTTCTTTGCTCATTGTCTTCATTTTACCATACTTAAAATATATTTGTAGGAATTCGTGGGATAACCATGGCTACACTATTTGACCACCTGTATGTAGCAGGCACTGTGCCAACTGCTTTCCATAGAAGGTCTTGCTTTGTTATTAAATGGTATTAAGCACATTTTACAGACAGTGAGACTGCAGTCCAGGTGTTTATTACCTGTTAAATTTAATAAAGAGCAAAACAGATTTAATCTTGGAGCTATGACTTATATTGTGTATACTATGTTATGAACTTTATTGAATAACTTCATTTTTTTTTCCACATCAAGGGAGAAAAAAAAGCTGCCTGGATTTTCCTTTATTTAATTTAAAATCTTGAATTAATAGACAGAAGTTAATAGACAAGAAATCAAAAATAAACTGCTTTAGACAGTGTCTAGATATCTTACGATATTTTTATGACATTTAGCTGACATTTGCAATTATCACATTTTAAACTTCCCGTTTTATATATTAAACTCCATAGCAATCATCCAAATATTTGAATTAACTTAGCCTCATTGGAATTTATGTTTCATAGCTCTCCAAGCTTTATCCTTAAATACTTTTTCGATGCTTTAATATGAATGGGTCTCCCTGGCTATAGTATGTGGAAGCTTATTGCTGAAAAATTAATCAGTAGTTAATAAGACTTGAGTTAAGTGTCAAATCTTTAAAGTCAGTCACTATGCTTGTTAGGTATTATTTTAGAATTCCTTTGAAAAGTTTATCTTTCCTGACTTGAAATATTTTAGGATTGAAAATACATTATTTTAGAATGTCATTTCCAAGGGAAACTTGGAAATGACATCTTGATAAAATCTCTTGTTTCAGACATAGGGAAGTTGAGGTTAAGCATGTTGAACAAGTCCCCCATCTAAGCAGAATTCAATGACAGGTCTCATTTTAGTTTAAGGATTTTTTTTTTTTTCACTGACAGACTTAGCTGCTTCTTAAAAGGTCTTTTGAGATCCATACAGTGGGAGAGGCTGCCAAAAAATAGGATTCAGGAAGTAGGTAGC